GACAAATATACACTAGATGGAGCCAAACTCCATTAACTACTTTTTCATCTTCTTACAATAGGGAAATAAAACTATTTAGAATGACTGCATTTAATGATTATGTTACAAGATTAATTAATTTATTTTCTTAAAGAAATGATACTGGGATATATATTTTAGTGTGAGAGTAGAGACGATTTTGGACACCATTTTAAAGTTGTAAATGGCACACTAAACTAAAAATATAAAGAAAATGTATCTTAGGGTGTCCACAAGATTCAAAAGTAGCTTTAATGCACCTTTCCATGAGTTATAAAATAACACGTGAAGACTTTTAAAAAAAAATGTTTTGGATTATTTTGTGTTTTGATTGTTGGTGGAAATCACTGTCTGAAAATCAAGTAAGAGTTATCGAACAGAAGACAAGATGCTGAAGGACAGACATCTCCAACATGCAGAGAAATAGTGGTGTTTTCATTTAATTTTCTTAAATGCAAAAACAGTGAATCACATAAACTGTGTAATACATAATTGTTTCTGCCACACACATGCTGTCAGAGTAAAAGGAAGATAAATTGTGATTAAGTTTACATTTCCTTTCAATACATGTAAATGTGTCTTAGAACCACAGCATTTCACCATCTGAAAAACCCGATCAATAGGCATCCATCCTGCATTACGAAAGTCAATGACTCCAAGTTGAAAAATCAGGGCAAACAATTCTTAAGACACGTTTTAATACAAATAGATACAGACGGTATAATCTCATAAATTAATAGTTAGCAACTTCAATACTGCTTGATACAAGACATTCACCCTTAATCTGAAAGATTAGTATTTAAAAAGAGGCAAATGTTGTATTAATGAAATGGTGACATATGCCATCCTTATTCCTGTCTTCAAAGTAGACATTAACTTGGCACATGGAACAGTTTCTGAAAGCAGCATGTAAAAAAATACATGCAGAAATACAGTATGTGTCCGAGATAAACCAAACCCAAGTATTAAGGAGCTGAAATAGTTCATATGTGTATCCAACTCTCATATTAATGCTCCTGTGTTTTCTGCTGATACCCTGAAAGGCTGAGGTCTGGGTTCTGCAGGTCTTTTTAAACACACACAGTGCCTGCTGAGTATTAGTGTAGGACTTTCTTCTGGTTTGTCCTGCGTCATCTGATCCTGGAGCGCTTGACAACAATTGTACCAGCTACCATATCATAAACAGTCCTATTGTGCTGGAAGAACAGAAGTGTGATGAAGGCGGGGAAAAAGAAGGCAATTGAAAAGTTCTTGTTCAAGGCTCGGACAGTTGATCTGCAGAGGGAGACAGAGACAGGCATTAGCATACAGGAGAGAGAAGGTCATGTTTGTTATGAAAATTCCAAAAGATAATCTTTAAAATGAACTACTCACGCAGACAGAGAGACATTAGTTGCGGGCACTACAAGCACCCTGTTAGGCTGAACCAGAATAGATGAGTCACATTTTACAACTCTGAGTCCAACAAGAAACTTCCCCGGTGTGGCTCCTCCTGCTCCCCAAATGCACACAATCTGAAGAGAGAATGGTGCTACTTTAATGCATGGCGGCTTTTCCAAAATGTCCAAAGAAACAGTTAACAGTTAAGATTAAGACCACGGTTTTGTTTTACTTTGTCTGTCATAGCGTGCTTAACATTTTTACATGAGTGCTCACCTCGTAAAAACACACTAATATCCTGTACACAAGAGCAACAAGCATCATTTTCTGTAGCTCCTCCATGGATGTGTCCTCATCGATTTCCTCCACTATGAAATGCATGGCAAACTTGGAAACATCTCTGAAAAAGATGAAGCATTTATATTATATTAATCCTAAGGGTGTTTATTCAATTACAGTTAAAGTTTAAAGGGATACAAACACAGGCCTAAATATTGTTTCATCAGCATACAAGTAAGAAACTCACTTGATTCCACTCAGATGCATAATACTGATGATAATAGTTGCTTTGATGAAAAACAGTATGAAGAAATCCACCACCTCAGCCAGGAGTCTTTGGAGAGGTGAAGGAATGCTATACTCCCGACCTGGCGAAAAGTATAGCAGAAAAGAAAGTCAGGCAGGTATAGTCAACTCTAAGTCTGGCTTACAGAGATCCAGTTCCCAAAGGTTTTGAATAAAGTATTTTAAGTATGGTAACCATCTTTTTGTTTGTTTTTTTGGTACGGTTAATGAAATAAAACTATTTACCTGAGACTTGTTAAGAATCAGAATCAAATTCACCTTTATTGGCCAAGTGTGTCTAAACCATTGCTTTCTATGCATGGACAAAAAAATAAACAAAACAGCAAGTAACAAAAGGCAACAAAGATGGGCATATAAGAATAGATAAGACCTCAAGCACAAGTACCTAAGAAAAGAAATAGAGAGAAATATTATACCAATAACCAAGCATTAAATAAAAGGAAAACGTTTATCTCTGTAGGCCTATATGTTAAGAGTTTTTGTAAGTTGTAAACTATAAAAATGTGTGCAAAAAAACTAATAGACATGGACTAGATGATTTTATACAGTATGTTTAAACATGTATACATGTACGCAGTTAGGACCATCATTTATTATGCAGGCTAAGTTGGAACCCTTTGCAGTCAACAAGCAGACTCAGACTTATACTTCTTTTTTTAAAACGACAACTAGGGTATTTGTTTCCGGCATCTGGCAACAATCTGGAGACTTAAAAAGTCAACGCAAAGCACCAGCAGCTTGTACCTGGTCTCTGTGCATTTCCGTTCTCCTGGCGCTGCTGCGGCTGAGCGGTCACCGCAGCCCCACCGGCGGCTTCACCTGCCCGCGAGGAGCCGGCAGGTGGATAGCTCGACGACGGAAGCCCAAACGGACCATTATACCAGTTCATTGAGTTGATATCAAGCGGTGTCGTCGACGGTCCAGTGTCAGACTGTAAGTAATAAGGGCAGGACATGGTTGCCACCCAGCTCTGCCAGCTGACATATCCACTGTAGTACTGCCACATCCAGCCCTGCAGCTTCTCGCAGTACTCTGTTGTGGTACAGCTTTCACCAGCGTCTTTCTGAACTTTGACATTGTTCTGGTGGTTTATTCGTTGCTTTACCTCGTCAACGAGGGGCTTAATTGAGTTCGCAAAAGGTTTATTCTTTACCTTATCGACTTCCATGTTTGTGTTTTCTTCGTCAGCCATGTTTGATGAGGGCGTCACGTCACGTACGATGACTTTCCGGATCAACTCATGTGGCAGCTCACTAAAAACAAACATTATGGTCAAATAATCCTTATTGTTTGAGACTATATTGCCTTCAAATGAATAAGATATGTGTTTGCTAAAGACAGGCAAACGCTCATGACACTTAAAACTCAAATAACATAAAACACTAATAAATGTTGCCCCAACTTCACCCCCTTATGAGAATATAATGGTACTGTCCAATCATGCCTGCTATCACAAGAATCAGCCACAAGGGAGCAGCATTTCTGCGAGAAATAAACTGCAGTGAGCTTTTGGCTATGAATATTACATTATTAGTTTTGGGGTAATAAGATTTTTCTAAATTGTTGTAGGTTTGAGAGATATATTATTTCTAGCTTCAAACCTTTGCTGGATTAATCACTTCACATTGCTTGCTGCTACTCAGATTTAAGCTGTTTGATGTATCACTTGGGTCCTGGTAATATTTATTTAAATGTTGTAATATTGATGTTATATGGTAATGATTTATCAATTATAACTTATATATATTTTTTTTTGCTATAATATGACACATTAAATAAGTGCATGTCACCTTTTTACACAAAGCAGCCAAGTTGAATAACAATCTGATAAATTCCTCAGCTAATGGTGTGATTGTGTTTAAAGGGGAAAACCCATGTCAAAGGAGGTCTGGTTGTATAAGCCTTCTTCCACACACTATAGTGATTGAGCTTGATCATTAACAATAGGGTATTCATGAATCTAAAATGAGTGGGAGAATTTGACATCATTTAAACCCATTAAGTTATTTGTATTTGACATACTTAACTATATCTCACATAACATTAAAAAGAGCATTTCTTTAGACGGTGTTACACATTATTTTATATTTAAAACCATTCATGTTCAAGATATGCCAAATGCCTGAATCAAATTTTTTGTGGCATGGTCTTATGATGTAACATTCCAGGTAACAAATCGGCTTTTTATTAGTAGATACCCATTGTTTCTTGAGCACCACAATCCTTCCCTGTTCTGGAATTTTAACAAAGAATTTGGGCCTCAACCTACTGCCCCAAATAACCCTAATTAACACAAATGATGTGCACTTGCTTGAACTCCACATCTTTGCTTCCAAGACAAGAGGGGCTTGGCACAAATGAGGGGTTACTGCTTTAACCCCAAGCAGGGATTTGGCCTTCCTACCACCCAGTCACCCACATGAGGGTTGCTCTGATCAGACATGTTTTTCTTGTTTGAACAAAAGGCCTCTGTCAAGCCCACTATATCCACATCTAAAGCTTTAGAGATTGGGAGGATGGAGGGGTTTAAAACTGGTTAACTGGCCATTGTATCTGAATTTAAACCAACCCAGATTGGAAGGAGCAGATTTTAAAATAATTAGGTCAGTGGTCTTATTTACTGATTTTGTTAATTCTGACCATTTGACCATCATGCTTTGAACATTCATTTAGCAATAAAAGCCTAAAAAATGTAATTGACCAAAAAGCCCTTTTTAAAAAAGTATAAAGAGGTAGCATGCAAATCCTGATTTTTGAACCTTCATATGTGCAATCAAGATGGCAGGTTATTTTTCATAGGCTGTATATAACGTTTTTTTCCAACTGAATTTGGCCTACAACTTGAATTATGCACAATACTTGATTCCCTTGGTTCCTTTTAAGGACAGTCTCATTTTGTGCCTTCTGTCTGTAACAATTGTATTTGTATTGCTGTCAATTTTAGTCCTTTTCTTCTGGGTAAATAACAAAAACTAAAAGTATATAAATGAATGCACAACTATGACAGATTTTCACAGTTCAGACTTTATTTGCATGTTTGGCAGTAGCTCATTGCATTTGGCGTCTTGTAATGTGAAAGTCAAGTCTAAAACAACTGATGTTTGATTATGCTCCTTTCTCATAAATCCTCACTGCAACCACATCATCCATGACACATTTCTGTTGAGACAATGTTTAAAAAGTTAGAAATCTTACATTATAACGCAGTTTAAAAAAAACTACAACCATTTAATGATACTCATACAAGAACACCATCCACAATATCTTAATTACACAATTACTCACAGCTCTTAGTTTTCCATCTTGGATCTCTCTTTCCAATGTGGTGGTCTTGTCCTCCCACGTCTGCTGTTGCACGAGTTTGCCATTCTCACACGTGATCAGGGTCTGGAAATCACGTTTGGTCGTCAGAAACACAATATAGCGTTTATAAAAATAAAGCTGACAGACAGAAGATGACCCACATTGGTCTTTCGGCCATCTGCAGTGGTCTCATCGAATTCTTCGTTCAGTTTGAACTTGATCTCCGTGGTCTTGAAAGTAGTCTCAGACTTCATTGAAACCATCCCAGCATCATCCACGCTGATCACCAGATTAGGCTTTGCCATGTTCCCCATTTGCCGGGTGGCGAAGCCCACACCTTCAACAAAACGAGGGTTAATATCAGATGCTGTAAACTGTCTGATGGTGTAAATGATGCTATGGATGCTTGTCGAAAACTTCGATTCTCCCGCCCTTACATTTAGACTTTTAATGCATCATTAAAACCACCCCCTCTTGTTATGATACTCTTACAATAATTAAATATATCCATACCGATTGCCTTCATGTATTCATCAAAGTTCTCGCTGGAAAGCAAAGTCCAGGTTCCAACAAACTGCTCAACCATGATGATGAAGATAAATCTCAGTCCGCTACACAATCAAAGATATTTCAGGTTCACAACTGAATAGCAGAAATACCGGCGCCCAGGGAAAAGCTCATATTTGAAGCCTGATCAAGCGCCTGCTTGATTCAGAGCTGTCCAATCAGCAGCAGGTTGCCATGTAAACGAACGGATTAGGGGGCGTGTCTATTACATCTGATTTTGATGATGGTTTAACATGTGGTTTGATAGGAGGGAAAATCTGGGTTTAGCCCAGGTCTGCTGACTATTCTGCATTCATCAAGTGGATTTAGTGTTCTGTGAGGTTGAATGTCGCCCCTGCAGAAGTTAAGACCCAGAAAAATACAAAATTAAAATTAAAATCCATAATACCTTGAACGATATTAAGAAATATTCATATTCAGCTAGTTTATAGGCATGTTGCTTGATTGCACAAAATACTAAATGTGTGTGTATTTTAAATATGTAAAAGAAAACAAATCATACAACAATAACTGTAACTAATGAAGACCAACACATATTAGGACATCAAAATTATATGTATTATTTAAATTGAATTTTTGTAAATATTTGCTTTTAAAATATAGCCATTAAGAGAATGAGATTCACAATAAAATGGAGTAAATGTTAAATTCAAAGGTCGTGATAATGTTTTCCTCCATAATTGCAAAAATTGCCACAAAACAGCATCACTCCCTCATTGAGTGAATGGTAACGCTCGGTTTGACCGGTAGATGGCGCCTGTGAAAAGCAAATAAAGCTGTTTCTGGAAGATCTGTTCATAACTAAAAAAAAAATAACACACTGTAAGATATGGATAGCCTACTCACACGTGTTGAAAAGGTTCCCCAAATCTTATTAAAGTTCAGCATTTGTCATTGTAATAAAACTCAGTCCGCAAATATATTTCCAAATGTTGTAAGAGCATGTAGGCTACAATGCATAACTATTGTAATGTTAGACATTCAATATAATATACAAAAGTTAAGGTATTGTAAGTCAACTATGCCACAGCCCACAACACTGTTGCAGAAAACAAGATATCAGTTGGTGTGTGTCCAAATATCAGACTGTCACATACTGCCTCCCAATGGTTTCAGTAATATACTACACACAACCCCAAAAATGTAAACATACCCAAAGGCAATTGATTTAAAGTTCATTTGGGAGAAACCAAAAGACAACAAAATAAAGGAGCAAAAAGTAATGACTTTGCCGATCTTTAATATAAATATTTAATTCACCTATGTTTATATATTTCAATCAAAATCCTCTTTATGAATGCCATTGCAATACAAAATGCAAATAGTGAATGCAGACAAATGAATCAAAAAATGAAGCAAAGAGAAACAGCCCATAAATCCCTTTATTCCATTTTGGTTGTGTGCAAATATAAGAGTTCCTCAGTGTTGCTGAGAGTCAAACTGAGAGAGTCTATACAGACCTCAATGATTGGAGATGCTCAGAGCAAATCTGAGGCATTTCAGATTAGGAATCTGTGATTAAATGGATTCAGTTGTTATATCCTCCTCTGACTGCCTCCCACTGAAATACGTTCACATTGGTCTTGCAGACATCATTTGGGAGCAAAGAGGGACTTTATTAAACCACTCAAAATGGATTAGTCACTGTCTGCAACTTATAAAATGCTTGTTGAATTATGAAAGACTAATAGCTTTTCTGGTTAAATAACAAGTACAGCCTAAGCACAATTGTTCTACTGTTCACTGTAAGAAAAAGAAGAACAACTCAGAAAAAAGTCACTAAGTCACATGGTCTGCATGCCCTCATAATTTAGTCTGTTTGTAGCTTTTGGTAAGGGATAATCATTTATATTGATAATTATTCATATGTAAATCAAAGTGCGTGCTTGATGTATAATTCAAAATTAGCTGTCAATATGAAACTAGAGAATCAATGCGTTCCACATATGAAGGCCTTAATGGCTGTCAGACGGGTGGAATACTTGATTTCCTGGAGCAAGTGCATTCATTATTCATTAACTTCAATGACAAGCAGTAATGATGTGATAGTCAAAGAGCCTGAGCTCTAATATGTCATGAAATGTTGTTAATAAGCCGATTATTATTATTCTGTCACCCGGGGGGGGTTCTGCATACCTACAGGTGCCATCCAGCAGGCATGGATCCCTTCTAATGAACATGAACTCTCACTGGCAGCCACAGAGAAGTCCTTTCCTCCTGGTTTTCATCAACACTTCAGCCCTCATTGATGGGAGAACAGTGGCTGCGGACAAAAGCTGTATATACTGTACAAACACAGCTCTGAGCGGCAGCACACTGACTCATTCTTCAGTGTGTGTGAGAACGGAGGGGGACCCCTTTCAGCTCCTTTGTGTTGGTGTCTGTCAACAGTGTAGTTGGAGGCAGAGCCCATTGTGGCGGCCAGTGTTTCGTATTGACACAGGGCCTCGCTCAGCTTGTTCCCAGGGTCCAACCTGAGGACTCATGAATAATGGAGAGAGGATCCTCAGTGCCAAAGGGGAGTTTGCAAGTCTGACTCGGCTCGTTATAACGACAGCTTTATGTTCCGGCAGGTAAAACTACGGTCACAGCTGATCATGTTGATGGTGAACTTTGCTGCAACTCTCAGCAGCCCATGAGTTAACACTGGGAGAATCTGGCAGAGAGAGGAGCAGTGCTTAAAATATATAATTATTCCATAAAAGGCACCAAACATTTAAACACACCTAGTTATAGACTATGCAAGTCTTTTCAACACGTTTGTATTCCCCTTCCTTCGAACTTAACCTTTTCTATGCTTGGTAAACTTTGCACACATTACATCTAGAGATCTATGAAAGTCTTTAGCATTGTCATTCACATACTTTAGTTGAGACGTGTCCATCATTTGTTTATTTATTTTACCAAACCCCAAAAATGGTTTATTTATTTTATGGAGACCTGCTGCTGGCATTTCCGGGAACCCAAAACAAGTCTTTAAGTTTGTGCATCTGAGTCATAATTTACTTTTGGAACATTGTAAACAATAAAAAAGTGCTTTCACAATCAAATTAAAAAAGCCATGCTGTAAATACTTAACAATCACAGAATGAAGAAATGAGACTTCAAGGCCTGTTGCAATGTTGGAAAAAAAAGCTTAAAATATTAGGCAAAGAGTATGAAGGGAAGATATGTTCCAGTTTGCCACAGGTGTGAGCTCAGGACTGGTTCCCAGCAGGTCCCAACCATCTGCTGAGAGGCTCACACGACCTGAGCGACGTGGCCCCTCCTCTGGGCCTTTTTACACGGCTGCTGGATGGGGGGAACCAGAGGCCATGGTGGGCGCCAATCGGTGTGTGTGTGTGTGTGTGTGTGTGTGTGTGTGTGTGTGTGTGTGTGTGTGTGTGTGTGTGTGTGTGTGTGTGTGTGTGTGTGTGTGTGTGTGTGTGTGTGTGTGTGTGTGTGTGTGTGTGTGTGTGTGTGTGTGTGTGTGTGTGTGTGTGTGTGTGTGTGTGTGTGTGTGTGTGTGTGTGTGTGTGTGTGTGTGTGTGTGTGTGTGTGTGTGTGTGTGTGTGTGTGTGTGTGTGTGTGTGTGTGTGTGTGTGTGTGTGTGTGGAGAGGTCAGGGAGGTGCATTTTGCTTGTGTGCTTTGAGCTGTTTCATCCTTCCTGCTTTGATCTTCTCTCTCATCCCTTCATCCCACACGCTCCCTACGCCTCAGGCTTCTGGTTTGCAGCACACCGACGTTGGGGCTGAAAGGGCATGAAGGGGGGGGGCGGGGGGCTGCCGCTCACAGAGACACTGCTTGTTCTGTCGTTACAGTGAGAGGTGGTGCAGGGAGAGCTGCCCATGGGGCATAGCCACCGGGAGCAGAGGGCAGTGGGCGGAGGGTTCACCAGGAGCTAAAGTGATGCATACTGTACAACTCTCTGCTGCTCTTTTATACTCTCTCAGATCCCCCAACAGTGGGCTGGAATTCTTGTGTGAAAAACAACTGCCACAGTGCTTGGAGGGCAGCCTCCTGACCCCTTACAACATGGGAAAGTGCACCCCTCAGCTGGTAGTTATATAAAGCCTTCTGGAGTCATGAGAATCCATGATAAATCACTTGGCCTGAGGCCTCATCTCTCTGCATCTCACATGGAACAATTATTTTCTCTGGGTCAATGAAATATGCCTTCCGCCGAAACTCTTTTATAGGTTGTGATCAAAGTGGTTTTATGTAATCAATGTGGCAAGTCATAGTTGTGGGACAGTGACACAGTCGTCATATGAATATGTGTCAGAAATCCTCATTTTATCCTATAGCCCTGTGTACTTCCAGAGCCTGGTAATCCCCATATAACCCCTCACACTGACACCCCCCCCCCCCCCCCCACACACACACACACACACACACATACACAAACACACACGTACTGCCCCCCTATACCCCACCTGCTGAGCTGAGACTGGGAAACACAAAAGCAGAGGTGCAGAGCAGAACCCCTAATTGAAGATTAATTGGGAGGGGGGGCACTTACCTTTATTTAGACATGTGGTAAGTGTTAGGCTGTGACAATTAAGTCAACCATCTCGACAGATGATTGCACTTAATATTTCATGACACAATTTGAGGGGGCGGGGGGGGGTTCAAGGGGTTGCCAAATACCCAAGGCTCATCCCTTTCATGATGATTCCAAGGATCATAAATATCTTTGGCATCTCCCAAACGGGCAAGTGCTCTCTAACCTTTCCTGTCACATGAATATGTGACTGGAGTGGACTACATAGCAGTAATTCATGATGCCAGTGGAAAAAACTTTATTTTTGGAGCAAAAGTTACATTTGTTTGTGAAAATAAGCTTGTGTTAAGAAAACAGTAGACGTTGTAGGGGAAATTCTAACTAACTACTAGGAAAGTATAACTCCATATGGACCGATAAACTGGACACATGTGGGGTAAAGCTGAACAACTGCACAAAAGCATGTGGATTATGGAATAAAAACAATGCACGGGGACAGACAAAAGTAGCGATGGAATTAACAGTAGGACTTGGTGGGATTCTGATGCATGTTTGTGTGAGTGGGAGAGACAGAAAGAAAGAGTAAAGGGGCTGTGCTAACAGGCTTTCTGCAGATCACTGGCAGTTTGACTGCAGTGGAGA